GTTCTGAATGTTGGGTATGTTTTTCTCCATAAATACAGTATTGTTTGGTAACAGACTTTTACCAATACTCTTGCTTTTATTCTAAACCTTATTTTTGTTATCAGTGAATTTTGAATACAACTGTAAAATTATAAAACCTCTAATTTTTCTTCCTTGACAGAAATACACAGTAACTGGGGGCTAATGTTCAACTAAGGCAATGTACTCGTAGGCCTGATATGAACTATTTCACAAGGTATAAGAAAGTTCCATCAAAGGTCTTGTGTATTTCTGTGAACTTAAAGTGAATTTGTAAAAGCCACGACTATAAATCACTCCTATGAAGTTATGTTTTTCTTTTTGCCTGTCACTCCATCTGTCTCTGAGCCTGTCAGATGGCTGCTCTGTGCACTGTCATCAAGTTCACTCCGTCTCTCCGCAGGCCTCTGGGTTCAGAGGAAGGTTGATCTCTTGCAAGCTTGCTGTGGGAACCGCAACATGCGTGCTGAAATGAACACGCAGCTGAGACCGTGGTTGAATGTTTAGGGCGCCCTGTGTCCATAAAAGGTTGTGTGGAAACTTGTTGGCAAAAGTAAATGGAGAAAGAGTTTTTCCTTCTTTAGTTTGGAATGTTTGACATGTCCATTGAGATTTTGCTTGTTTTCTCCCCCTCTGACTTTCTCTGATGCTCAGTTGCTTTCTTCGCTCCCAGGGTGAAAACTTGTGCTGCAAGGACTGACCAGCCAAACTAACCCCACAAGCACAGGAACAGTTTTCCCACTGGTTGACAGAAATTTTGCATTTGAATTAAAGGTTTTTCATGTGTATATCACATTTCTCTGGTCCAGTGGAGAGGTGAATCTGTTCATATGTCTTTAAGATATCTCTGTAAAATGTTTTTCAATAATTGCTAAGTATGCTATCTACTGTGTGTGTGTGTGTGTATGTATGTATGTATATATATATATATACACACACACACACACACACGCCTTCTCAAAACCAGTTACTGTGTCTTTGGCCATACTGAGGTACATACAGTACATTATTGGGTCAATGTAAAATTTTATGAGGGAAATACTTTCAATATTGGTGTAATACATAATTTTGAGTCCAGAACAATTTTTTTTAAACAACTAATGTGTTGGGCAAATACAAAAAAGCAATGCAGTCATTACAAATGTATTTGCGTTATATTTAACAACAATTTGTCCACTTAAACCTAATATAAATTGGATTCTATGAATTTTATCTGGTTGCTCCACCTGACAAATATGCTTAGTGATTGTCTTTTGAAGTGTTGCAGGACGATGACACGATAAGGTCTTAATCTTGCTCTTTAAAATGCCATAAGATAATGTTTGAGCGCTATACAAATAAATTGACTGAATAAATATGCTTGTTACAAAAAATATTTAATTAGGTGCTCTGTAATAGATTCTGATAAAACATGATTTAATCGTCTTATTTTGATGCACAAACAATTGAAAATGGAATCTCAAATGTCAATACAATAAAATTATTAATATTTTAAAACAAATGCAATTATTTAGTCTCATGATATGCTTCTCTTGCAGCGTGTTAATTTTGTATGTGCTCCTTGTGTTGTGCTAATTTGTCTTGATAGTGTCATCTAAATGTAATTCATATTAACATTAAAGGTGTAGTTCACAGAAAAGTGAAACTTCACTCATGAGAGTCCACAAAAACACATTCTCAGCAGTACACAGTGTTGCGGCCAAAGTGACTCCTTAAGACATAATAAAACAGAAGATTCCGTCATTGACCCGAATGCAGAAGAAACATGTTTATGACAAAAGTGTGTTAATACTTTTTTTTACTTGGTGCAGAGGGGTTTTCAGTTTGGCAGAGATCCAGACTGGATATTTGCATCCCCAAAGGAGGCATTCGCATTACTTGTCTTTCTCCACAGGAGATTAGAAGACAGGGATGAGAAATTGGATGTTTTTGCTGAAGGACTCTTAAACTGGTTGCACATTTGCTGAAAATAAGCCTTGAAACATTCTCTGTTGGCCTACCTGCAGGTGTCTGACTTGAACTTCTTGCCTTGCCGAAGACACGACTGTGGACTCTCTCTGCACTGACAGAGGCAGGTATCAGGGTTGAGGGGCTGATTCCCAGGACAGTCAGCCGCACATACACAGCCACACAGGTCTTCATCCCACCGCTGGCCGGCAGGGCACAACTTCCCTTCGCCTTGACCTTCACACTGGCATTCACCTGAGAGATTGACATAAGGAGAAAAACAAACATGAAGATGATTTAATGAGGTTTGTCAGTGCAGTTGGTCATGTTTTTACTTGTTTAATATTTGTATAAACTTCCAAACCCCCCTTTTTTTTTGGTGTTACTCCATTGCTTTCAGACAAGGTCTTAAAATTTTGGCAAATAAGGTTGCCATTTTGGACAATTTTGCAATTCTAGACTACCCACATTTTTTATTTTAATCTCAGCTTGTAATTCTGTAAATGCATAAGTAAATATTGGTATTGTCATTAAATTGCACTGCATTTACTGTAAACTGATCTTTGTGAAATCTTTTTCTTGAAAGCAGCACCTGAACTGCAGCCAGACATCAGATTTCCATGCTGCAGTTGTCTTCCCTCCAGCATCATCATTGTCACCCACCCAGATAAGTAGGCCATCCTGGCCAATTCAGGATTCAAGACAGTTATATTTAGCAGATGGTAACGTTATGACCGTGTGCAGGTTTTTGAACAATGACTTGCTTCTGATTTGTATTTCACAGCAGATAATATTTTGTTAGAGAATGTCTATTAAGTTGTTAAGCTCTGCCCATCCCACCTGGCCTGCTCCAGCCTCTGCTGACACAGCCTGAAATCAAGTGGTCAAGCATCACTGAGCAAAGTGTTAACCAGCACCTGACAGATCTGGTGCCATCTTCCCTCAAAAGAGAACCACCCCAACATACAGAGGGCTCATGCCTGTGATGCCAGCCTCCAGCTCTGTCTCCGGAGGAGTCTCACTGATGTCCCCACTCTGATGCCTGCCTTTCGCTAGACCACTAAGCTCCAGAGAGATGTCGTCAAGAGCGTGTCAGGCCAGYGACRCTAACATCAAACCCTGTCTCCCTAAGGAATGAAGAGTTGTGCCCAACCTGCCTCGCCTCCAGCCACTGCTGGCACAAAACCATGGATCCATCATTATCTGTCTCCTGAGAAGTTTCACTTGTTCTCTGTTGGCCTCTCGTACGGACTCCCTGGATCATGCACTGGTGTCAGCTGTTTCCAACCCTGCCTTGCCGCTGCCGATACACAGCCTGGGATCCAATGGTCTGCCAGTATTGAAGCCTGGACTAACCTGTTGAAGACTCTGATGCCTGCTTTTTGACCAGACCACTAAGATCCAGAGACAACTCAACCATCGCCACATTCCATCCTCCAGAGGCTCTCTGACTGACCGAGGCATCCTGCCGTCTCTTAAAAGGATAGTCCACAGATGAAAGAGATTTGCTCTTTCTATTCACCACTATGCTGTTGGAGGGGTGGGTGAAGTGTTTGAGTCCACAAAACCCTTTTGGAGTCTCGGGGGTAAACGGTGCTGCAGCCAAATCCAATCCAATTGAAGTAAACGGTACCTCTTTTTCAGATGTAATAAAAGTACAGAAATAACACTACATGTCTCCATTCTGCTCGTATGGCGTCACCCAAGTGTCCGGAAGCCCCCTTCATTTATTGGCGACTCGAAATGGCGTCATATACACCATGTTTTCAGACTAAATATCCTCCCCGGAGCCGCGCTCACGTTTACACGCACCGTACACACCTCAACAAGCCCTCGCCCAAGGGCACACGCGGGGTTCGCGTCAGCATCGCCACTTCCCGTAGTGGACTTTTAGGCTCAAGACAAGATGTAAATGACGCTGTTACGTGTCGAATATGAATGTCAGGGGTTTCCGGACGCATGGATGTCATCACACTAGCAGCACGGAGGCATGTTGTGTTTTCTTTTTTTCTGTTTTGTTACCTTTGAAAAATTGATCACCAGTGCTTCATTTCTATTGGATTTGACTGCAACACCTTTTACCCCTGAGACTCCGGAAGTGTTTTGTGGACTTAAGCACTTCACCCACTCCTCCATCAGCATAGTGGTGAGTGGCTAATGAGGGAATTTCCTTTATCAGTAAGCTATGCCTTTAGGGGGCTGGCCTTTTGTTTCACCCCTACGATGGACCTGCAGTTACACCGTCTGTTGCCAGCCTGCTCTCAAGACCACCCCAGCAGCCTCCAGAGAGAACTAGCACCAGTTGCTGCTGACACAGTTTACAATGGAAGTCAACATGCAGCCGAATGTTCTGGTACCGCTCTCAGAGAGAATTGGCTCACACAGTAGCCTTCCATTTCATCAAGTGGATGATGCCAGCCTCCAGCTCTGTCTCACGTACGTCCCCACCAGCCTCTCTTGTCTCCTTGGGTCATGCACCAGTGGCAGCTGTTCCCACCCAGTCTGGCCACCAGCTACTGTGGAGACACAACCTGAAATCCAGTACACCGCCTGTATTGCCGCCTACGCCAACCTGTTGTTGAATGCTTTGATGCCTGCCTTTTACCAGACCACCAACAAAGAGAAGTCATCAATGCTAATGCCTCCTGCTGAGGGATTGAGGAGCTGATAGTATCCTGGCTGGTTTACTGATGACGTGTTTTTTTCTGTGACGCCGTCCTCAAACCCTGTCTCCCTAAGGCATGACGTGCTGTGCCCAACCTGCCTTGCCTCCAGCCACTGCTGGCACTAAAACCCTGGATCCACCATCACCTGAGAGTTTTTGGCCTTGCAATCTCCTGAGAAGTTTCACTTGCCACCACGTTGGCCTCTGATGGGGATTCCCTGGGTCATGCACTGATGTCAGCTGTTTCCAGCTCTGCCTGGCTGCTGCCGATTCACAGCCTGCAATCCAGTGGTCTGTATGGAAGCTTGGACCAACCAAGCTTCCTGACACTAACCTCAGACCTTGTCTCCCTAAGGCATGAAGTGTTGTGTCCAGCCTGCCTTGCCTTTCACAGCCAGTGGTTCGTAGTGAGTAAAACTGTAATAAGAGAGAATGCCATTATATACGTAACCCACATGTTTTATTTAATCTGAGCGTGCGATTTTGTAAATGCATAGGTAAATATTGGTGTTGTCATTAAATTGCACTGCTTTTACTGTAAACTGATCTTTGTGAAATCTTCTGTCTTTGACAGCAGAACTTGAAACAGATGTACCACTCCTGAACTGCAGCCAGACRTCAGATTTCCATGCTGCAGTTGTCTTCCCTCCAGCATCATCACTGAAGCCCACCCAGAGAAGTAGGCCATCCTGGCCAATCCAAGACCTAATTGTCATGCGCACAATAATTATATTTAACAGTCATAAGTGCAGGTTTTTAAACAGTGATTTGTTTTGCTCCTGACTTGTCTGATTTGTATTTCACAGCACATAATATTTTGTTAGCGACCGTCTATTAAGTTGTTTTTAAATTCTTGTTTTTATATGCTAAAAAAATTAATACAAAAAATG